TATATATACAAGATAACCTATTCCAAAGTGTCATCCCCACTAAAAATATTCAAGTATAGACCGCTGAAAACACAAAAACAAAAGCGCAAGCTTTTAACTTTTGTGACAATTAAACCTAGAATTCAGATGTTAATAATACATTGAATCAAGACTGTTTCTAATTGTGTATTAAATTGTAACTAGTTCTGCTACCACTAGATGTCACAAAGATTCAGTTTTCAAAAGCCCTACTTTTTGAGCCTGTGGCTTTGAAAGATTTCTTTTTGTACAGAAATAAGGTTTTCTAATATTCACAATTATAAAATACTACTTTTAAATTTTTCAATTATTATGAAATACTCCAAACATGCACAAGAGTACACAATACTATAAGCAATATTTTTTTTACCCCAACCAAGATTGAACAAATAGTGACCTTTTTCATTTTGTGAGGGGTGAAATGTATAACTATTACATTGTTTTGTACACCTGAAACTAATAAAAAAAATAGTGACATTTTTACCATCTATTTGACAGCTTTTTAAAAAACTAAAATCTTGCAGTTGATGTTGTTTGTACTGTCCCATCCCATTGCTCTCATTTGGTGCCCACAGATAACCATTATCTTGAGATCAGTAGATGCACTTCCCTGATGTTTTCATAAAAATGTTTGCTTATTTATTTAAGCAAAAATAACATCAATTTTGGGGGGTGAGATTTGAACTTAGTGTTAAATGGTATCATACTATAGGATTCATTCTGCAACTTGCTTTTTTAAATTCAGCATTGTATTTTCAAGATTGATCCCTGCTGATTCAAGTATATCTACTTCATTTATTTTAACTATGATGTTATAATGTACCATTGTACCCATTCTTCTGTTGGCAGCTGTTTAGACTTTCAAATGCTTTATTTTTATACCTACATCCTGTATGTGCCTCTTTGTACGCATGTGTACATTGAGGAAATCCGATTGTCTGCACAATGTCCCTTGGCCCTCAGTGACACTGTCCTAGTGAACCAAGGTCTGCCAGACGGCCTTCTAGAGAATGTATCAAGGACTGCNCAACATTTTGGTTCTCAGTAGCAAACCCTTGAACCAAATAAGTATCTTCATGAAAGTGCGTGCTTTTACAGGATACAAGTACATTTGTTTATTTAATAAACATACAGTGTTTTCTACATGCCAGGTACTGTGCCTGATGCTATGGTGCATAAAACAGATAATTTTTTACCTTAGCTAGGGGAGAAACAGACAATTGGACAAGTAATTAATAGTCATTGTTAGAGTAACCAGGTAATTTATTGCCCAAGCCAGTACGCTTTAAGAGTGAATGGAAGAGCTATGGATAACTACGCAGATTGGCAGGCATAATGCAGAACTGTCCTGGCAGATGGGCACATGCAGGCCCCTTAGTCAGTATGCTCTGACAGGTGGGACAGCCCGCCCAGTTGAGGAACCTTGGTCAGGGAAGGCTTCCTGAAGGAAGTCAGGTATTTGCCATTCATTGGTGGGGTGGGGGCCTGAGCACACAGCAAGTGTGAAGACCCAAAGAGTGTAAAGCAGGCAGGGATGAGAGAAGGCGGGAGCTGGTCCATGAAAGGACTTGTAATCTGTGCTCAGACGTTTAGATTTTATTCTAAAGGGAGTGGAGGCCGATATGATCAGAACTGTATTGTAGAAAGGCCATCTGGCTTCAGCATATGGAAGACAGTGGAGTGTTAGATTTGAGAAGACCGTTAGGAGGCCACTGTAGGAAACTAGACAAGATAACGTGGATGACCTGAAGGAGTAAAATGATGTTTTAAAAAGCTGTTCAGAAAGTGGAGCTGGAAGGACTGGGTGCTAATCAGTTGGTGGATACATTTTTATTAAATGTCTTGGTACTATGTTTTGGTACCATGCAGGGTGCTGGAAAACACCAGTGAGCAACACAGGTTGGGTTCCTGCCCTTTGGGGGCCACAGGCCACCTGGAAAGCTGCTCTGAGAGGTGCTTAGAGCAGGGAAACCATAGCCTGGATGAGTCTTCCTAACGAAGTGAAGTTTAAGGAATCAGCCTAAGATAAGCCCAGTGTATAGAGTGAGATGCTTTCAAGGAACTGAAATAGTCCAGATTATGGCTGGGTTGTGTGGAGCTAGGGGAATGGTGTGGTTCGAAGCTGGAGAAGTGGATAAAAGCCAGATCACACTGGGTTCTCTATGTCATGTTAGGGGTTTTGGAATTCAGTGCAGAGGGAGTCATTA